TTTGAACCCTTGACACCATGTAGGAATAAGTGAAAACTTTAGGATGAGTTATATCCTTATGATGATGTCAACTGAAAGGGGGTGGGTAGTGTCTCCAAAACAAGCCCTTTCAGTAAACATGAAGGTGGAGTCACTTAAACAAGCGATTATAGTTTAAAATTGCTTTTTTGTGCAGTTTAATATCTATGTTTGACTTTTACCAACATACAACATGTTTTTTGCATATTTTGTTTCAATTGGGATTCCCGCCAATACACCTTGTTATAAAATTGGATCAAAATCTATTAATTCTTTCCTAAGTTCGCGGCTACCAAGCTTGGCATGTGCAAAACTGTCACACCTTCGCTGTTACCTTTAAAATGACCTCAAGGTCACTAAATTCAAGTGGTGTCGGTAAATCTCGTCAATAAACCTTGGTACCAAATTTGAACAAAATCCATCATTTCTTTCTCGAGTTCTTTCAGTAAACAGAAGGGGGAGTCATTTGAACAAGCGATTGTAGTTTCAAATTGCCCTTTTGTGCAGTTTAATATCTAAGTTTGATTCTAGCCGACCTCTACCAATCTCAAACATACAAAAATGTTTCTTGCATATATATTTTGTTTCCTGAAGTTTAATTTGTGATGCATTTCATTGCTAGTCAGCTAGGCTATTCCATTTGTCCGAACCACAACATACGGGGACAGATCATTTAGCAGACCGGACGCTGTACTCTGGAATTGATTACCTGAAAATGTCAGAAAATCGGAAAATATCAACAGTTTCCGATCTTGTCGCAAAATCATCCTCTTCAAACGAGCATTCGACTAAGCGCACATGAGCAGGACTCTGGATATGTAGCGCTATACAAATGTCTAATTTGATTTGATTTGATTTGATTTGATTTGATATACCTGTTAGAAAACCCACCCCCACCCCACCCCACTTTATATTTATACAAATCAAAACCTCAAAAGATATTTGCGAAAAGACATGATACAGAGGGCAGTTTATATCGATTATATATCAGGACGAATATCATTTTCGTCATTTCTTTCTTGGGTTATCGCGCTAACAATCTTTATATTGGCAAAACCCTCAGATTTTGCTGTGACCTTGAAAATTATCTCAAGGTCACTCCATTTCACTTGTGTCGGTGAATCTCGCCAATATACCTTGGTACCAAATTTGAACAAAATCCATCATTTCTTTCTTGAGTTATCGCCCTAACAAGCTTATTTGATGTATGAAATGCAACGAAAAACAAACACCCGCGTATTTACGAGTGATTAAAACTGTTATTACAATTTACGTAAACATTTATTACATTTTACCGCAACGAAAGTTATTACAATTTACGTCAATTTTTATTACAATTTGCGTATTACAATTTACGTCAATTTTTATTACAATTTACGTTTTTATTACAATTTACGTCAAGTTTATTACAATTTGCTGCAAGTATTACAATTTGCGTTTTTATTACAATTTACGTCGTAACAGGGCGACCTCGAGCGACCACTGCGGCGCAGGATCGCTACATCCGGGTACATCACCTGCGTCATCGAACAGCTACGGCAACCAGTACCGCTCGACAAATACCCGGATTGAGAAGGCTTTCTGTACAGACCGTCAGGAACAGGTTGAGAGAGGCTGGTTAACGTGCCAGAAGACCTTATTGTGGCCCTGTGCTTCGACAACAACATCGTCGACATCGAGTTCAATAGTGCACCAACGTTCAGGCCTGGAACCTACCGAATTGGCGTAGAATCTGGTTCAGTGATGAATCACGATTTCTATTAGAACGACGCGATGGAAGAATGCGGGTGTACAGAGGTCGACGTGAACGTTTCGCCGACGCTTGCGTTCCCCAGGTGGACAGATTCGGCCGGGAAAGTGTTATGATGTGGGGAGCGATCACCTGCCGTAGAGGAAGTGATTTGGTGATGATCCAGGGCAACCTGACAGCTCGACGGTACTGTGACGAAATCCTACGCCCACACCTCCTTCAAATCATTGATCGCCAGAGGGAGTTGTTGCAAAAGGACAATGCCAGGCCCCACACAGCACGTCACACTGGAGACTTCCTCCAGAACCACAACATCAATGTGCTCCCCTGGCCCTCAAGATCACCGGACTTAAACCCGATCGAACATCTGTGGGATGCCCTGGACAGACGGGTGCGACGCCGTAACCCTCAGCCCCAGACACTTCAGCAACTCGGCACTACAGGCACTACAGGCAGAGTGGGCTGCGATTGGGCAACTCGAGATTCTGAGACTTATTCGTTCGATGCCGAGGCGATGCCGTGCAGTTCTGGATGCTCACGGTGGTCACACGAGGTATTGACTTCCAGCGCCACCACACGTCTCCATGTGACACTCAAACTGACTTTCCTCGAGTTGGTGCCAAAGACGGATAAGTCTGCATTCCCAGTGTGCAATTTCGCTATATTTCATTGACTCATAAAGCCTACAAGATGTTTCAAAATAAACATAAAAATTCAGTTGAAATTCCTATATCCGTTTCCATTATGGGAGAGTATATATAAGATAGACCACATTTATCAAGTATGCATTTTACATATCTGGTCCAAATATCATATTTGTTTTCTCTAGCGCCTTGGATAAGAGCATAATTATAAATAAATGTTGATAGTTTTGGAGTAGTTTCACCAGAATGTAGCTTATACCAGTAACAGATTACCCATTTAGCGGCTAATATATAAAGGGGAACTCTCCCTAGCCCTCCATATACCATATAATTTGGGGTAGAATTGCGCAAACCAATTGCTAATTTAAGAAATCTCATATGAGTCTTCTCAATATCTTGTAAATGTACATATGCCTATGTTTCACAACCATAAAGCAAGATCGGTGAAATCATAACATCAAATGCTTTCAGTAAACAATCTATAGGTGTGTTAAAGTTTTTGATTTTCTTAAAAGGCAAAACTTAGCTTTAGATGCGCTGTCTGAAAGTTTTTTTTATTGCTTTACTGAATTTTCCGTTTCTGTTGAAGATAAGATAAATGTAATCATCTACAATGTCAATCAAAGTATTTCCATAATGGAACTTCATCTCAGAGTATTTTGCTGGACCGCTCCCAAATATAAGTACCTTTGTTTTATCTAGGTTTACTTCAAAATGCCACATGTTACAATATGTATAGATTGAGTTAAGAGTCCGTTGAAGTTCAGGAGCTGAGTCAGCAAATAGGACTGTATCATAACTGAAATACATAGGTTCATATCAATATCTGGGAAGTTACGAAGTCTCACAGATGTACATCCATCATTAGTAAGGAATTAGTCCAGGTCATTTATGAATAAACAGAACAAAAGACGGGCCAGGTTTTCACCTTGGCGCACGCCAGAGTAGCATGGGAAGTAATCCGACATATTATTGTTTGATAGTACACAAGATTTAATGTTAGCATACATATTTTGAACAAGAGTTAAAAATCTGCCATTAATTCCATTGTTGAGTAGCTTATGCCAGAGTCCAACCCTTCATACATTATCAAACGCTTTCGAAAAGTCAATAAAAACACAGAACAGTTTTTAATAATTGGTTGAACATATTCATTACAAAGTTGAATGATCATTCCTAAAACCCGCCTGGGCAGGGGTTAATAAACTATTTATTTCAAGAAAAGTGTTGAGACTGTTATTCTGTATACTTGTGAACAGTTTACCGAAACGGCTGAGTATCGAAATTGGTCGGTATGGTTGGTTGGTTGGTTTTATAGTTTTAGGGCGACGTTGGTCGGTATGCGTTTGGGTCAGATTTATCTCCTTTCCTTTGTAGATGGGGCTGATAGAGCCCGTCAGCCATGCTTCTGGTATTATATTCCGGTTGATAAAATCAAATTAAAGTATTCAACATATGTAGCACCAAGTTGATCGAATGAATCTATAAGATAATCATTTTCAATACAATCAGTTCCAGAGGCTTTATTGCGTTTAAGATTTTTAATTGCAAAAGCTATTTCTTCAAATGATATATCTTCATTAAGCAAGTAGTCATCGTAGCCTTTCTCGATTATTTCGCGGTCTCTTTCGGGGTAATCTGAAATATGTTTCCAATTTATATCTTTAAAATGTTCAAAAAAATTATTAATATCAGGTGCATCTTTAGAAATATTTCTTTTACTCTTTGTAAGCATATTCCTGAATTCTTAAGGCTTATGCTTTTGTTTTTCTCAAATTAATTTATAAAATTCATTTTTATGCTGCTTGATATGCTTATTCATACACTTCTTATACTCTTTGGAACATTGCACATCGGCGGTACTTTATTAATACAATGTAGATGTTTTGCAATTAAAGTATTTGCGTTTGGATTTCTGAAAGTTATCACGTTTACCTCTGCATTCTTTGCAAAACCAAGGTTTGTGATCACGTCGTGCGCTTGATTCATTTTTGAACGGGCGTTTCACACCGAACGTGGCACGTGCAGCATCGGTAAGTAGATTCGCTACTCCAGAGGCAAATTCATTGATTGCACGCGCTATGTCATCGTGACCTGTTATCGATTGCAATATGTGTGAACATCTGGAGACATTATTGATGTTGATATTATCTGCAAATAATTTAGCTGAATTTATGTCATAATGCTTAGGTTTCTGGATATTATCATTTGTGGGTACGTTTGTGTCAATATTATGAACCTTAAAATCTTGACGTTAAAGTATGGTACTTGTTGGTCCCCGCTCGGCATTAATGGGTAAAACAAGGACTGGTCGGCTCGGAGTCCGCATAATGTGTCTGAGTGGGGTATTCATGCTTAACTGAGGCATGGTATCTCAGTGAGCTAGCACTATAAAACCAGCTTAAATCTGGGCTAGTACAAGCAGCCTCACATACACACGCATGCACGTCGTCATATGAGCGAAATATTCTCAAGTACGACGTTAAGCATTTCATCTCACCGAAATAACGAGGGTCAAACTCTCGCTGGTCCAAAGCGGCGTTAAAATTGCTCGGGTGGTCAAGCCCGTAGATTTTATGAGCACTTACCGCAGTGCAGCTCCGAGTCTAACATCAGTGAGTCCACTTGGGACTCCACCATAGTCCCATAGAGAGTCTTCGGTCCACATTCCCACAGCTCTATGTTCAGACAGTTGATGTACATCGCCATCTCGCTGATAAAACAAAATACCAAATGACGCCTACAGTAGTGTTGACAGGACTTATACATGTGTGAGTGAGTGAGTTTAGTTTTATGCTCCACTCAGCAATATTCCAGTTACACGGTGGCAGTCTGTAAATAATTGAGTCGAGTCAGACAACCCAGTGATCAACAGCATGAGAATCGATCTACGCAATTGGGATATGATGTGTCAACCAAGTCAGCGATCCTGACCACCCAAGTCGCCTCTTACGACAAGTAAGGGTTACTGAAGACAAATTCTAACCCAGATCTTCACGGGTTCAGGACTAATACAACGTAATGACATTATGGCATCAATCAAAAAGACTCAAAACGGTAAATAATTATTCCGTAAGGGTTTCTCGTCGAACTACACAATTTTTCTCAAATTGCATCGTCATTTCACAAATTGCACCATTAATTTAATTTTCCATGTCATGTCATCTGTCGACAGAGATAACACTGATTGGTTCGCACAAACAATAATCTACAGAAATATTTAAAATATCTTCAGTAGAATGATTCATTTCTTCTCCAAAATTATACACGAAGCTTATATATAATATAAGATGGATGTGTTCCGTTAATAGACTATAACCTATTAAGGATCAGTTAACACAGATGTCATTATTCGATAGACTAAGTTCTAAATAAATAAATAAATAAATAAATAAATAAATAAATAAATAAATAAATAAATAAATAAATAAATAAATAAATAATAAATAAATAAATAAATAAATAAATAAATAAATAAATAAATAAATAAATAAATAAATAAATAAATAAATAAATAAATAAATTGATTAAAACGTTGGCCACTCCTGCCCAATACAATGATTAGGTTTCCTTCGTCAGTTACTGTTGTCGGTGAACTCTCCCACACCTCAGTAACCAGTACCTCACACACTTAGTTTGTTGAGTTACTTACTCACAAGTCTTCTTGGTGTATCCTTTACTGACATCTGCCACGAAAGTGCAGTCCGCCACATCGCAGATGCCATTCGCACCAAAGTAGTCTGCAATATTAACACAAGCAGTTGATATGTACTGGAATGAAAGCCTCGACGCCAGCGTCCCTCACTCAATAACTAACTCGGGCGGTGGGGTAGCCTAGTGGTTAAAGCGTCTGCTCGTCACGCCGAAGACCCAGGTTCGATTCCCCACATGGGTTCAATGTGTGAAGTCCTTTTCTGGTGTCCCCGCCGTGATATTACTGGAATGTTGCTAAAAGCGGCGTAAAACTAAACTCACTCACTCAGTCAATAACTAATGTCCCTGTACAAGATGCCAGATTCAATGAGACACGCGGCATTTATCAAAACTACTTTTATTTGTTTTACACATCATTTTCCGATAACCGTGACTGTAGTCGAAAAAACGATTATAAATGTGGATCGCTGCTGCATCCTATCAAACACTGAAATCAAACACTGATCCAAACACGATTTTGTTAGCCCGACGTTGACGAACGAACGAACGAACGAACCTACCACATCTATACAGTATCGTGACGTAGTTTTTATCTGCCAACTCTTGCAGCGTCGTTCGTTCCTTGCTCTCCCCAACACACCCGTGCAACTCCGTCGACAGACAGTGGACATAAGTCTTCAAGTCTCTGCATCAGAACGAGACACGGGTTTCTGTATGCATTTCTACTTTACAGTTTAATTTAAAGAACACAGAAGTGAGAAAACTAGAAGGAAAATGCAGGACATTTCGGGTGACATGTTCAATAAAAGACGTTTTCTACTATTTGAAAAACTATTAAAGCAATACTGATTGTAGGTGGTCATGTGCTGGTAGGAGTTGTCCCCCTTGGTCTAGTTGTGCAAAATATGCATTCCTGTTCTACTTGGAGCAGGAATCATGCACATGACATGCGCTCTTCACAAGTGAGCGAGTTTAGTTTTACCCAGCTTTTTTGCAAAATTCCAGCAATATCACGGCGGGGGGCACATCAAACATTGTACCCATGTGGGGAATCGAACACTGGTCTTCGGTGTGACGCGCAGACGCTTCATTTACCAAACCAAGTGAAATGAAAATATTCAAGTGAAATTACACATCTGAATTACATTAATAAGATATACACTGTTATTCGAAAATGACATGGGTACAATGTGAGAAGTCCATTTCTAGTGTCTCCCGCCGTGTTATTGCTGGAATATTGCTAAAAGCGGCGTAAAACTAAATTCACTCACTATGGAATACAAGCACACTACCTGCACAAGTTTTACTCACTCACACACTGCTGCGGTGTAACTTCCAAACAGTTGGACAGTGGACAGTGCTTCGCTGGGCACGCACTCGCTGGACAGGCACGTGCCATGGCTGCTGGGAGTAGTCACCACTAATCAAATGGACAAGGACATTTTAGATAGATATTAATGCACAAATACACAGTATGAACAAATTGACAATAGTGTCAATATCTGTAACATGCAATACTAACATCCAGTTACTAACTTAATTAAGGGAGGCGTTAATCTGTTTATACACCAAGGGCATCCATTCATTATACCTCGATAAAGTTGAACTCTGTTTGTCGGGACCTTGTTCAAAACCATTACCATTAGGAGCTTCCTTAAATTATGGTTTCAGCTCACGTTTGTGTGATCTGCTAATCTAAAAACTCGTTAATCAGACCATTTCACTTGGCAAGTCAAAACGTTGATTACACAACAGTATCGTTTCCTGCTGACTGGGTTCCGTCCTATTGCGCACATTAGTACAATAACCAGTCCAGAATTTTGAGACCAGTTCATTCAACTGGATACATAAATATTAATCAGTATTATTTGATACATCAAAGCACTTGCATATTGCAACACTACGTCATTCTAATCCCTGCAAACACGTCGTGCTGCGTGCTCTGTCGTACAGCGTGCTCTGACAAACGGAAATCTGGAAATCGTGGAAATCTCAAAACGAGGCTCTGGCGCTAGAAACGTTTGGCGGTATGGTACGTACTTGATATTATATCAATCACATTGCGCGTTACAAAACTACACTGAATAAGCGTAAAAAATACATAACAGGTGTATCCAGTGAGCCAGATGAATTGTGAATCATTTTACGACCTCACCAAACAGGGGCAGTCTGTGACGTCTTAGTTAAGGTAATGCTGCCTATACCTCGCCATAAAATATCGTAATACAATGTTATTAAAGATTAAAATTAACATTAGCTTCTAAATACAATTTTCTTATGAAATAAGAAATTGGAATTCAGTGTAACCATAGTTGTTTGTGGTGAATATTTTCACTTTCACACGAGAAAATTTGGATCGGCTGAAAAGTAGGTCATTGTCTGAATAGGTTAGTGAGACTCATGTTTCGGTTTGGTCCGCTCTTAGAAGTTTCAATTCCATAACACAACTGCCCCTTAAAACTGAATTTAAGGATGATTACGAAAAGACATACAATGCATTTACAGTTGATACAAGAAAGTGGGAAAATAGTCACATTCACAAATATAGAAAAGTGGTGCAAAAGTTTGAGGACACAGCTAGACACAGTGTTGATATTGTCCAGTTATTTCCACTTAATGTGTTGATGAATCCACATTGCCATTTAGAATGTGGTCAAATGTAACATTTGTTATGTTTGGGATTACACTTAGTAAAGTACAGTCTTGTAGTTTTGTTGGGTTGAGTCCCATCCGGGGGATTCGAACCCACACCCTCAGTGTCGGGCACCTAATCGCCATCACACCAAGTCAGCCGTCTAAGCAAGTCAGCCACCGCGGCTTCCACAAAAATGGAAGTCGGACACCTGCAGGGTACTTCAGACCACGGAATTTGTGTATCCCTCTGATAAGTGTAAATTGGCACAGTTCCCACGGCCGAAAGCTTTGAATACACAATGCCATTAAGAAAGTTGTCAAATGTATCATATGTTATATTTGGGATTACACTTTCTCAGTGAAGTACAGATTCTAGTACTTTTGTTGGGTTGAGTTAAGTCGCCCATATGATATTACCATGCAGGCAGACATTACTGTTTGCGGGAGTGAGTCATTCTGTTTGCCCATAACTGTGTTATCTCCATAGGACCGGCATGTTATACACAGGCTGATCGCTGAATGTGATAGCGCAGTGAGTGAGTGAGTTTAGTTTGACGCCGCACTCAGCAATATTCCAGCGGCGGTCTGTAAATAATCAAGTCTGGACCAAACAATCCAGTGATCAACAGCATGACCATCGATCTGCGCAATTGGAACCGATGACATGTGTCAATCAAGTCAGCGAACCTGACCACCCGATCCCTTCAGTCGCCGATTACGACATGCATGGGTTACTGAAGATCAATTCTAACCCGGATCTTCTCGGGTCTATGCTTGTACACATATTATCCTAATTTTGAAGTTTTGTGAATTATGTCGCGTGTGCAGATGTGCAAGTGTAAGAGATCGAATTCGAAGACTGGTTTTCTGTATAAGGGGAGTGTAACAGTTGATTACAATACAACATGGCGTGTTATGACAACCCTTCGGAATATTATTGTAGGGAACTTGACAACTAATTGCATCAGTAAAAATATTTACTCAACATTATTCATATAATAAACGACATACCTGATAAAACGGCAGCAAGACAAATGTTATTCATTTCGACCCTCCCTTCTGTTACATGTCCATGTGGTAGACTGTATACCGTTAAGGCCGCGCACATTATTTCATTCGCGAATCTGTATCTATCCGGGTATATTATGGATCCTAATTGGGCGTGAACTATGCTTACTCACTCACAGATCGTCCCACGAATTAAATATGTACATGCAAGCACTGTAAGTACAAACTTTATGCTCTGATATTTTAAAAATCCTTTAGACCCTTGAAGATCCGGGTTAGAATTAATCTTCAGTAACCCATATGCTTGTCGTTAGAAGCGATTAACGGGATTGGGTGATCAGACTAGCTGACTTGGTTGACACATGTCATCGCTTCCCAACTGCATAGATCGATGCTCACTGGATTGTCTGGTTCAGACTCGATGATTTACAGCCAGCCTCCATGCAGCGGGAATATTGCAGAGTGCGGCGTAAAACTAAACTCACTCATTCCCTCGCTCACTGAAGGTTCATTAAAGATAAAACGTCAGTCCTAGAAACAAACTGTCACCGAGTCTGCCTTATTGTCGAGTATTCGGAGTAAACATGAACCAACACTACAGCGTCAGTCAATGGCAACCAAGGAAATCTGTACCCAGACACGCTATGCTTAATACCCTCAGTACATATCGGTTACTTCACTATGAGTTTATCGTGTTGTTTCATCTCAGGTCCTGACGCATCGGGTAGACCGTGGGCCTTTATACAAGCACGTTGTGGCTGGAAATCGTCAACGTTGGCCGTGTTATTCCTTGTTTAAAGCCTATCCTCAATGTCCGTTGGTATTACGGGGTATCGCGTATCAGGAAAGAGCACCAGAGCACCAAGCTTGCCGATTTAATAATGGATATAGGTAGTATTTCATGGGCGGATCCAGCAATTTTGAAAGCAACTCCCCATTGGCTCCGCCAACGCAAAAAACATTCTTCAATGTGATCTTAAGTCATTTTCAAGGGGAGGGTGGGGTGGGGCGGTCCGAACACACCACTACCACCCCCTCTCTGGATCCGCCACAGTATTTACTTTGTGTTCCTATTTTTAAATATATAGTATTGACAGAAACAAATATTCATTTGAAAATATGTACAATAACATTTAGTCGATAACTTTCTTCTCTGGTGGGTTATAAGTAAATAATTCGTATACAATCCTCTGAGAGTATGTTACAAAGGCAGTACCGTTCCTCTCTCCGCACAGTCAGCGACCGTCTCCTCTGGAGCCACACTAAAAAACATAGGTGTATTCCCCAAGGACTATATGGGATATGGTATGAGTGAGTGAGTGAGTATGGTTTAACGCCACTTCGAGTCCCGACAAAATAGAGCCGGGGGACACCAGACATGGGCTTCCCACATTGTACTCATGTGGGGAATCGAACACTGTGTCTCCCGAACATCTTGTAGGCTACCCCACAACTCCGGGTTATATTTTGACATAATGTGAGGTGAAAATGTGTAAGTGAATCTGAACTTCGCCATACAATCTCATAATCAACACGGTTAATCTGTAGACCTTGGCGCTGAGAGAGTGGATTGAATCTCATCATGTAATAAACGCCCTACTGATACCGGAATAGAATAACGACGTGTGTCTAAGCACTATCATTTACATGTAACGTTCGACCATAGTGTTGATATTTGCTGAAGAATACGTTCTTGTTGATTGTGTGGCAATTATGCTTCGCGTGGCCTTGATGGTGCTTTTCTTTACACGTGAGTGCACATATTTATTACTCAGGTTGAGTAAAAACATTTCATTATGTATTGAAGAAAAGTTGAAGAATTAAGACACTGTTTGATAACGTATCCCTAACATATTTAGGGGTGGTGGGGTAGCCTATCGGTTAAATCGTTCGCTTGTCACGCCGAAGATCCGGGTTCGATGCCCCAGAAGGGTACAATGTGTGAAGCCCATTTCTGGTGTCCCCCCCTCCGTGATATTGCTGGAATGTTTCCAAAAAGGCGTAAAACTAAACTCACTCACTCAAGTAAACCAAAGGCTGACAGCATGAGCACCCATGGCATCTGAACTCGTTGAAATAAAATTAGTCTGGTCACACGTTGCAACCATTAGTCGGTGCAAGCAGGGTGTGATGAAGACCTATTTTACCCCTAAATACCCAGGAATGAAGTCTTTATAGGAAGGGCTCGATCGAATGACATTTGGATTTCTCGATTTTATTCAGTTTGAATGGCGTGTTACAATTTGAAGTTGTAAATTCGGTGTAAGGAAGGACACTTCACTTGACAATACACACGACTATGTCAATATAAACGAAGGCTTTTTGTCATTATGTACTTTATGTATACAGTCCATCAAGAGAATCGACAAAGTGAGACAGGGATCTATAATCAGGTGGATCTCGAGCTTCCTTTCCCATAGAACCCACTGTGTTAAAATCAACAACGTGCTTTCCGGCATCACTCCTATCAACACTGGCGCCCCACAAGGATATGTCCTCTCCCCGGTATTGTTCATTCTGTACACCAAACGAGCACCGAGGATAACTGTTCAACAGTAAAGTTTGCTGATGATACTGCACTAGTCGCTCTCCTGACAGACTCTGAAGAAGGTTTTCGGTCTGAAGTCAACAAATTCACAACATGGTGTAGCAGAAACATCCTTCAGCTCAAATGTTTTCGGTAACTGGTGTATCTATTTTACTGTTCTCTGTTCAATGATGGTTTGGTGCCTTTCTCTCCAAAACAAAAACTAACTCCAAAAGTTGTAACCACCAGTTCAAAAATTGTCGGCATGAATTTTAACCGCCTTTGTCATATGTATGAGAATCGTGTTTTAATGTCTGCGAACAAAATTTTATCCAACCGGTCTCATGAATTACATTCTTGTTACCATCTTTTACCATCTGGACGTAGATTCCTCGTCCCTAAAGTTCGCACAAAAAGGTCCAAAACATCTTTTACACCTGTTAGCATTAAACTTTTAAATGAATGTTAGACTTAGCCACAATTTGAAATGCATTTGTCTACTAGTCTCTTACAGTTTACACTGGTTATTCTTCTCATCCTGTTATTTGTGTATTTAAGGTGATCGTGCTTCTGTGCTTAATATCTTTTAATCATGCTGTATGTCTCTCTGTTGTAAAACGAATCCCTTTGTTGGGCAATAAAGTATTAAAGTAAAAGTATTAAATATGTTAAGTGTTGGGTTTTAAATATCACGCAATATAATGGCCGGGACACCAGAAATGGGCTTTATACATTGAGCCCATGTGCCTTCGGCGTGACAAGCGAATGATTTAACCAATGGGCTACGCCACCACCCCTAAATATATTAGGGATACATTATCAAACAATTTCTTAATTCTTCAACTTTTTTTCAATACATAATGAAATACTTTTACGCAAACTGAGTACTAAATATTTGAAAAGCAAACACTTTAACCAGTAGGGTTTTCCCAGCCAGACTGAGAGAGAGTTAATCCGTGACGAGCAAACGCTTTAACCTCTACAATACCCCCTTGCCCCATTCAAAATGAGAAACCGGTAATGAAAAAGCTTAATAATTGGCTTACACTTACGCCATTTGCTGGAATTATTTTTACATTTAAAGGAATTGTTACGTACCACAATGATATGTGTTGTTTTAAAATAGCGGGTATGTTGTCCTCATTATTATCTAATGTACTTGTATCTTGTGATATTTAATTGTATTTTCTGACATTGGTCGAACTCAGGATTGTGACACGTTTCTCTGTCTAAGAATATTTCACGACGAATTTATCACCGCAGCAGAAAACAAGACGGCAGCATGTAGGTAAGAGTGAGTGAATTTGTGAGTTGTCTCCCTTTAATTGTCTCGCTTTAATGTTGGATGAAACCGCGAGATGATGCAGATGGAAGGCGGTCACCTCTTTGGTGAAACCCATGATCACAGAAAGGATATGCTGCTGACAAAGCAGGGTCTATTACCAAAGGCGAATACGGCTTTGAACTGATTATCAGCGAATCCTGACTTGACGAAGGGCCCTAAGTCAGCATGAAACAGGGACTGATGACTACAATTTGATGTGACTTAGATACCCGTAAAGACCAGAGAACGCCGATGACATAGTGAGTGAGTTTAGTTTTACGCCACACTCAGCAATATTCCAGCTATATGGTCAGTAAATAATCGAGTCTGGACCACACAATCCAGTGATCAACATCATGAATATATATTTATCTACGCAACTGGGATACGATGATATGTGTCAACAAAGTCAGCGAGCCTGACCACCCGATCCTGTTAGTTTCCTCTTACGACAAGCATTGGTTACTGAAGATCAATTCTAACCCGGATCTTCACGGGTCCCGATGGCATAGATCTTGGTTAATGAGGACTTCTCCTGACACAGAAAATGAGTTAGGAGATTAGCACAGGGGAACATAGTCTACCAGTGAATTCTGCTTTAGGGGCTGGTGTGATTGAGCAGTCCACAAGTTTAGTCGATTGCTCGTTGCCCCGAATCTCGATGTCGATTCGCCATAAGAGTGTGAAGTCATCAAAACTGTAGTCACTAATAGTAATGGTAAGTCCGCCGCCGTTATGCTATTATGCCATTGGTGTCATATCAAGTGCAGGCGACATCACTTCCTCCAAATCGTCAGTGATGCTATGACACAACAGATCATTCCTCTACTTCTCTGGCCAGCTGTTTCAGCCGATCTGTCGACGAAGTAACATTATTTGAACAAAATAGACAAAGCCAAGACATCTTAAGAACTACCAACTGACAACTGACAGTGACCATACGACATGAGGACTTAGTACACCTCAGGAAGGACGAAGTCCTAAGCTTCATGAGATGTCACGATTGTCAAACATTGAATAATTGTCAGACCAGAAAGTGATGTTCTATCCATTTCACAAAGGCAACAGCTTTACACAAGACAGACTCTCCAGCAGTTTATTCCTCTACCGATATAGGGGAGGTGGGGTCGCCTAGTGGTTAAAGCGTTCGCCGAAGACCCGAGTTCGATTCCACATGTGTAATGTGTGAAGCCCATTTCTGGTGTCCCCGTCGTGATATTGCTGGAATATTGT